AGTTATGACATTCTAGCTGTCAAGTAAATAAAGCAGAGCCAGATTACTAGGAAAGCTGGGTGAAAAAATTAAGAAGTTTTAAAATGTCAATGAAAAAAAATAGGCAATACTTTTGTATTGATTTTGTTTGATTTTTTTTTGGCCATGTTTTCAACCAACTTTTAGAGTGGTCAAGATGTGTATGAACATCTAATTTTTTAACCCCAGGAAAACAGAGAAGATGGTGGGCCCAGTGACAGGGTGATCGAATGCCAAGGAAAAAATAGCATAAGGAAGGGATATTGAAAAATTTGGGGAAAAGGATTTCTTCCACCACACAATAGATCAGTCCTAATTCAGGCATGTAGACTTGCACAGTCTGTGTTGTCTTATTTCATCTAGAAATATCATATAAATGAAGGGCTTGCAGCTACAACAGCTGGCTCTGTGGTCTCAACACATCTCAAACTAAGCTGAACTGTGGTTGTTGAGTATTTGCAGGAAAAAGCGAGGTGCTGGAAATGGAGCTGATATTTAAGGAGGTGACACACTACTATTTCTAATAAGTTCTGTTTAATCCCATGCTATGCTTAAATAATTGAACCGATTATTTACCTGGTGCCTGGGACGACCCACAATGGAAGGGAAAACTGCTCTTGGAGCATCATCTCCAGCAAAGCCAGCCTTACAAAGTCCTGATCCATTGTCACAAACCAGAGCAGTGCTGTCCTCTTCCTCGCACATCTTCTATGTCAACGTCCTCAGGCCTTTCAGACAAAAACAGCCCTACAAAGACAGCACACAGACAACTGAACAATTCATGCAGAGGCTGCTGCATGAACTGGACCTGCCCCAGTCACGATAAGCACGGCATCCAGTAGGAACAAGAGTATTATTAATGGACAGTATAAGGATTCAAATGAGAGTGCTAATCTTAAAGTGTGGGACCTCATATTCTACCTGTCTTGCAGGAAGGAGAGGTGATTATAACAAAAACCAAACCACCTGCAGGAATTCAATGTTATTCACATTGGAATTCCCACTGAAGGTCAGGAAATCTGATCCAGGATGGTGTTTAAATGACTTGAGGATGGCATAAGCATTTCTAGTTTCGTGTATAAATTCAGTGTTCAAAAAGGGTGCTGGACAGAGAGCTCTAGGGGGGAAAAGTACAGTTATAGGAAGGGACAGTACAAGTTTCCTAGTGCTACCCATTGCCAGCCAAACCCCTGCCCTGGATGAACACTTCTAAGTGTGAGAGGGTATTTTGCCATGGTCTTCTTTGAGTTTGCCAATAATGCAATCAGATGGGAACCATTATAACAGTGGAATTTTTGCTGAGAATACTAATCTATTGGAAAGTGGGTCAAGATGGACAACCCCCTTCATATGCATATTTGTTTAAAAAGAAAAACTGTTAATGCCAGGGGTGGGGAACCTCAGACCAGTGGCCGGATGCGGCCCCCAGCTTGCTTGGAACTGGCCCCTGAGGCTTAACATTGGGGAGCCCGTGCTGGTGCTCCAGCCCCCTTGCTACCCACCCATAGGACTGAAGCACACAAAATCCACTAGCCTGGGCCCCCCTAGGCCCTGGTGTGCAAGGAGAATGTGGGGAGTGTCTTTCCCCTTCTCAGTCAAGGGTTTCTCACTTTGCTTCTCACTTGTGTGCAGTTTCTGACTGATTTTTCTGTGAGTTACTAGCCCCGACCTAAAAAAGATTCCCCATCCCTGGTTTATGCTAATCAAATCCCTTTCCAGTATTATCATGCTCAGAAAAGAAGTCCTTCCGTTAAATTAAAGTTAGAAATCATTGACAGTATCTGCATTTGAAACAGCCACAAAACACAATGCACCGTCATTCCAAATGCGTCTAGATCACACTCTGCTATTATTCATGATTATTTTGCATGGTTCTCTGATGAATTAAATGCCACTGGAATTAGTTCCCTTTCTAAAATGATGCAGTAAAGAAAGTGACACATAACACGCTCTGAAGAAATATTTTGAATGAAATCCATGAAAGAAACAAGTATTGTGCAAAGCTGCAGAGGCACATTTGTCAGCAGTTCATATTGTTAGGGAGAATCCTCTGAATAGTATTGGACACACTATTTGGCTTGCAACAGCCTAGATGTGGAATTACATTTTTCTAAAATGTGTTGTGGGCTAAGTGAGACAGTGACAACAGTCACAGCTGACTGCACACACTCAGGAAGAAATCCAAAGCGTTAGAAATGCAGGCATGGGTGGGAGTCAGATTGAAGTTAAGCTTTGCGGTAGAAAAAGTGATTGTATGTTGGATGTTTTCAATAGCAGAGTAGACTAAAGAGTGAAAAATGGAAAAATGTCCCCAAAATGTCTCCTTCGATCTGTGCTGCCACTGTGCAGAAAAGGAATCCAGAAGACACTGCCCAGATCAGCTACTGTACACTGGATGATGCTGGCTGCCAACACAAAAAATGATACATAACTCAAAATGTTCTTTGTTTTATGCACTGGGGAAGAAAGGAGGAGTTTTACAGTTATACGCAATTATGCATTTCTTAGGGGAAAGAGCTATTTATATTTCAGCATTTACTTAATAGAGTACAACTTATCTACTATGCATGAATAACCCAGTTTGGAACAAACCATTTCCTAATTAGGAAATAGACTTTCAAAAGTCTGCTTTTGGAACAGAGTTCAAGGTCAGAGGTTTGCTCAAACCAGTGCAAATAGCACAGTGCCAAAAATCACTTGGGGGAAGGGAGAAGGAAATGCTACATTTCTGAGCTTAGAGGACTCTAAATGAAAACCATATTTAGTAATAAAGCACCAAAGATGAAGAAATCAAAACTGAATGATTTCAGACAGGATCCTCTGCAGCCATACACTGATTTACAGCTCAGGACTGCCATGGAGTGTGGCAGTAACATTTTACAGTAGCAAACAACACAACATTGTGGAATAAAATCATGCACTATACACCCTTCAGATGATTAAACCATGGATTTAGTTGCTTGCCACTTTGTTGTGGCATGCTTTCTATTCAGAGAAAGAGAATTGATCTCAGAACCTTGCCCCAAAAGACCGATACAAATTTCCATTCCTTATATAGAATACTTGGCATTTACACCACGGGTAGTTTTTTGTGTAAATAGATATCTTCATTATTATTATATCACAACCATTCACATATTCAACTCATTTCAAAGCATGTTCCCAATAACCTTTGCTAAACAAGCAGCAAGTGTACAGCACTAAGACATCCATGATAAGCCATTAACTGAATCCAACGCTATAGCTAGACCCATTAATCCTCTAGCCAGACCCACTGGGACAATTTAAACTATTGAATCCAAAGCAGATACACCAAGGTGGATTTTCCCAGTATGTTTAAACAGAAACAGTCAATATTCCAATCAGGAAATATTTTAAATACCCTCTTTTAATATACTTTACTACTGATATGACACATTAAATGACTTGGTAGAACTAAACTTTTTCCAACACTGTAAAATATCTTGACTATACAGGCAATAAAATATAAAATGACTGGAACGCTTATCAGTGCTATTTTAATATGAAATATAGGACAAGTTACAGAAGAATACTACATCCTCCTGAACAGTTTCTGCTTTTTCTTTGTTAATAAAAGTTCTCCTGAAATCTATCATACTGCTGGTTTACTGGCACTTACCCTGACTGTGCTTGGCTGGGAATAGTTGCTCTGGTACCCGTATACTGTGAATCTGAAAGCTGTTAGGTTATATAGCCCCTTGGCCTGTTCTCCTCCCACTAGCTTCCCAAACAAGGAGCAGAGACAGACTTCAACTCCATCTCTCATTCTAGCAGAACCATATAGGGATCTCAGCACAAAAACCTCTGATCTGGGTGGTCATGGGCCCTGGGTCTTTCCACTGCATTCCACTGCACTGCTCCTGAAACAAGAGGAGAATACAGCTGTATAAGATAAACATATTACAACTTCAGGAATACTCCTAAAATGCACTGGGAGTTACTGCACCACTGAAAGCACCTCATCTGCAACATAGGAAGTAACATAAAAAGCTATGCAGTAGAGACTTCTGCCTTCATGTTCAGATTAGCTAAAGATTATTTGGCAAAAGCAATAACAATGATTGTGGTAAGCACACAAGTTGCTGTACTTTGCCACAAATGGTGTTGAAAGAGGCATGTAAATCAGTGACTCCTGTGATCATGCTAATAGGAATAAGAGTTCTAAAGGACATTTTCATTTGGCTCTCTGGGGCAAGTAGTTATATAGGGCACAATAGAAATGTTTTAATTCTGTACTGGTTGTAAAGATACATGGAAAGCAGACAGTTACAAACCCTTGGGGACAGGCGCTGATGAGCTGGAATTCTTTTTCTTCCCACAAATGAGTTTTAAATCACTGACAATATCAGGCCCAATTCTTCCCTAGGGTAATTTACTGGACAAAGTTGGTCCACTACATTTATATCTACACACAACTAACTTCACTGTTGTGATCAGAATGAGGTTTTCTACATACATATAGAAAAATTATTCTCAGGGAATGACAGGATTTTACAGCTGTAGTCAGCTGCTAAAAAGGCAGTCTGTAGAAGAGAAGCTCTTTCTTGGGATAACTGTTTTGCCATTAGGCTTGTAGTAAAAAACAGATACCAAGAAGTACATTCTCTAAAATTTGCATTGCTGAACCATTATGAAAATCAAAGTACCCCAAGCATTCCAGATGAGATCTCTACTTTATGAATTTTTTTCTTAACTGGATGTGTGTGTCTGTGTGCACAAACTCACAAAGTCATCACTCTCTAATGCTGTAGCCCTAATGCAAGAAACATTCCCATATGACTTGAATGGGAGTTTTCTCAGTGTAAAGATTTAAGGATTAGTAGGCATCCTTCAGACTTGAGAGACCATGGCCAGCGAGGTAAAAAAATTATTCTGTTGTTTTTTTTGGTGGCTGTGGCTGAAGAGACCCTCCTGAGGTTAGGTCTACACTACAGCTTTTTTTTGGAAGAAAGGTTGCCAGGTGTTCAGTATTAAACTGTACAGTCCAGTATTTGAGCTTTCTGTTCAGGAAACAAACCAAGAAAACATAAAAGAGAAAATATAAATGTCCGGTATTTTCTAAATAAGATGTAATGGAGATTGTGATGTAATGTCATGTGTGTGCGGTATTTTTGTTGAAACCATCTGGCAACCCTATTCGAAAGAGGCTTTTCTGAAGTTTGGCCTGTCTACACTGGCCCAAATTTCAGAAAATCCTCCTCTTTCAGAAGATCCCTTCTTCCTCGTGGAATAAGGAAGACAGGACTTCTGAAAGAGCGTGTTTGCACTCCCTTCCCCCCTCCCCCCCAAAAAACAGAAGAGCAAACACATTCCCTGGATGGGGTGGAGTTTTTCTGGGATACTGGAGGTTTGCTGGAAAACCCCCGCAGTGTAGACCATACTGAAAGAGACAATCTTTGCTGCATCTATCACATTCAAAGTTGATGTTTCAGCTCTGCCTTCTACAACCTCTTTTCTTCTCATCTAAGGTGGACTGCTTCCTCTCGTAACTCCAGAGACCTTTGTTAAGCTCATTTCCAATGACTGCGGCCTTGAGTGTGATCTTCCCAGTTGTCCACATCCATATCCATTTCTTTGAGGTCTCCCTTGCACACATCCTAAATACACAATGTTGGGCATCCTTTGCGTCTTTTTCCAAATGCCAGTTTGCCATAGAGTAAGTCCTTTGGGATGCACGATGGTTCAATTGGCTCACATGTGAGCGGAGGCATCTCTGTTTGAGGAGTGTTTAAATGCCGGATACACAGGCCTGCTTGAGCACCTCAGTGTTGGTGACTCTGTCCTTCCAGGGAATTCCAAAGATCGACAAGGCCACACGTATGAAAGCTGCTGAGACTGTTTTCCTGATGAGAATATAAAGGTCCATGTCTCACTCCCATATAAAGTGTGCTGATAATACATGCGTGATACACATAGGTCGTTGGGTGTTCTGTCAGTTTGCTGTTTTGCCATTCCCTTTTGCTCAATCTAGATGTAAGGATTAGGCATTAGATAGAATTAATTAGGGATAGACCAGAGGACTCAAAGGTATACCACAAAGCTATCTGGGCATGTGCTATAATTTTTTTTTAAAAAAAGCAATGTGAACTTTTCACAATAGTCTGTATGAATAGGCTTTTCCTTGTATTGCTCCAGCTCATCACCATCAGAAAAATAAAATCTCCAGGAAAGAAGAATAGTCAGATAAATGGTTGACCAAAATGATGTAGCTTGTATGGTTCTCTATACATTAATATGTTCAAACCAAAGCGCACAAGAATTCAAATCCCAGGACGTGCCTTTTAAGACACCTGGATCTGATTTTGATACATACTAGTTTGACATCAGCCTAACTTCACTAACATACTGACTCACATTGCTGGAAATGAGAAAAGAATTGAAGACCCACCTCCCGGTCTCAGCTGTGCCTAACTGGAGACTGTCAGGCACAGCCTCATAGTTGATCTTACCTGTGGCAACGGTGCACAGAGAAAATCAGGAAATTTTGAAGGTACCAAGATCCACCTGTGGCTTTATGAACTGAACTGGATCAGGCAAAGCAATACATGTAAGGACAGATGTAACATGTTTGTGCTGATCTTGTCCACCAAGCAGGCAAACCTCTATGTCACCTGCTGCTTGCACATGGTCTTCAAGACTAGTCACAATTGGAATGCATTGCAAGAGTCCAATCTGAAAGTGTTAGCTATTAATGGCCAAGATGGGGGGAGGAGCCCGCACCAAAGAAAGGCTGTCACTAGTTCGGTAACCGCAGATTTTAAAATAGATTGTAAGCTATCACTGCTGACAGGAAATCCAAGATCAGACCAGGTGCCGAAGTATCTAATGCCAGTGAACCTTCTAGAATGAGGATGAATAGACTGTACCAATAGACAGCAGTTTCAGATCATTACTAAATCCTCCAGATGCTCTCATGGCCAGTCAACAACATGACTGTTGTATCCAGACTGAAGCGCAAATTGCTCATCTTCATTCACATCCCTGCTTCAGCTGGGTGCTAGGGAAGCAAGGAAATAACACCACACTGGCTTAAGGAAGAGGGGATGTAGTGTAGGTCTTAGATATTTGTCCTTTTTGAGGATCTCTGGGACCCTGGAGATGTACTTTGAGCGTGAAAGAAAAAGCAGCCTAGGCAAGTGGACTCTACCTTGGCAACTTATTATGTTATTATTATTTGATGCCAGACAAATTGGAGGCCACAAACAGAGCAGAGAAAAATAGAAAAGAAAAACATGGATATTGAGAATCATGAGCTAAATACAGTATGCGAAAGGCCAAATTTCTAAATCTGCCTTTAGAACTGCATATGAACAGTGTGTGCATGAAGCATGTGAGTCTGTCCCAAACTCTGTACTTTTTGCCCAGACCACTTCCCACTGCTGTTCTCAGCAGAGGTGGCCTGACAGGAGCATAGCCAAGAGAAGGGGCATGACCAGGGACTTAGGGTTTAAAGCCAATTTTTTCCCTTCTTCCAACCTCCTCCCATATCTTCTCATTGGTACCAAGCAAAGCTTGCGTGCACTGAAGTTCTGGTTCACCTTCTTGAAGTACAGGCAGTCCCCGAGTTACGCGGATCCGACTTATGTTACGAACGGGGTTCTTCTCGCCCCAGAGGACAGGAGCGGCGGGACACCCAGATGCGCCGTGGTCCCACCGCCCGC